AACATTATATGTATGTTATAGTTATATTAACAAAACAATATCTTATTATAGTGGATCGAAGCCTCGTGGCAAAAACGAATCATTGATCGACTGCTCGAGTTGCAATAGGTTCGGCTCCATTTCCGTGTACTGGGCTATCTTCTGATTCATCGAGACGTTCGCTTTAACGCGTTCGTTCTGAATGTTTTGTAAGCGCTCTCGGTTAACTTTGCTTTTGGCCACAGCAACCTGCAGTGAAATATTTACGAATTAATAGTCGCGTCTAGTGGCGATTGGGCAAAAGACAAACCTCAAGGGCCTTTTCCTGTGCTGCCAGTTCCCTCTCCATCACGCGGATACTGGAATCCAAGAGGCGCATGCGCACCGGACGCGTGTATTCTTCCGGGGACAGACAATTGACGTTCCTAAAAAAAAGGCAGACAGCAATTTAGGGCGTGCATGGCGACAAGTGTAGGCGAAGGACAGACCAGTTGTGGCCCTCGTATGGGGCGAACTTCTCCTTGAGCATTTCCAGTACAACCAATTTGTTTTCGGCATCGTTGCTGTCAAAGAAGTGCTGGTTCAACTTGCTCAATATGGCGGTCATTTTGTGGCGCATGGCAGCCACCAATTCATCGGTGGCCAAGTATGTGTCCCCGTGCTCTGCGTGAATGGCAGCAAAGGGAGCCAGATCCTCGGCACTGCATGGGGACAAATATATTCCATTAATAACAAAAAAAGTAATACGAGTTGACGAAATCTGCACATGCCTGAGATCGGCAAAAACTTTAGAAATAGCTTCCTGGTAGGCCCGTTTCACCTCGGGCACAATTTGGCTGTGCCGATTGTAGGCAGCCTGTATGTCCTCGGGGTCTGGTTCGGCATTCTTTTCAGACATTTTACCTTATTTACAAACAAAATGCGATTTAATTCAAAAAATGCACTTCGGTAGCGTATATAGGTGTGACCAGTTTTGGGGAAGCCATAACGCGTCTTACAAATACTACAAAATACTGAAGACAACAAAATATCGCTTACCGGTACTATCTAAGAAAGTTCCAAGGTGTGTAACCTAGAGGGGGTGTATCGGTATATAAAGATATATTTAAGAAATGTTAAATTAAATTTTATTTTGAAGTGCGTAAATGGTAAATAGGGTGTTGTGTTGGAAATAGGTCATACAAATGTCCATACTCAGATTTAAAACACAAGTATCATATGGATGTTATAGAACTGTGAATACGTTTGTCTTCCAAGGCTTAGTAGGTATCAGGATCGACATAAATATATACAAGATACTAAAGAGGTACTTGAATATGTTTAAAGAATATCAATTTGAGAAAAGGTCTTAATAAATTACGTTTGATCTTCATATAAAATTAGCGAAATAGGGTGTACAAAGGCTATACACGCATCACGTCTTCAAATACCAGCAACATTGCGACTCTTTTTTTTGTTGAACTTTTTTCGTTTAACCCTTTTTTTACAATAAATAAAATAAAAGCAAGGATAAAAAACTATCCAATCTTGTAGAAAATTGATTCATTAATCGTATAAAATTATGTGGGCATGGCTAAATGTTCTATGTAGCTTATTCGTCGGAATAAAGAATTGAGCAATTGGAATGATACTCGTTTGTTTATGCTACTGTTGTGTGAACATAAGTGCCTTGTGCGTCTGCCTACAGTGGCTTCAAATGACAGTAAGTCCTGATGTCACAGGGCACTCCCAAAAACAGCCGCTGTTCCACGGCTATTCCGTGCTTTCCACCTTCTTCGCATTTACAGTTAAAGTCGAGCCACAGAGTCTGCAGCGATGCCGAAACGACCAGCGGCGCCCTTTGGCGCAGTTGTGGCCCACTACTCCCTGCCTCAGCCACCAGAAGACGAATTTCATAGGAAAACAATTGAAAAAGGAGGAAAAAGAACAGACCCTGGACGGCATCTGGACACCGGGTTCTTCAGGATTCTGGCGTCTGGTGCGATGGAAAGACGTGGGGAATGGGGCATGTTCTCGCGTCGGTCCGATGCGGAGGCTCATCTCATCGAGATCACCCGCGTGGATGGCAGCCGTCGTGCTTGTGGAAGGGGGGTGGAGAAGCCGCGTTCCCTCGTCCTCGAGACGCGTCGCGGGTGCATGTACTTGAACAGAGTCGCCTCGGACTCCATAAGCCGCGCCACGATGGACGAATCCGAGCTGCAACCATAACCGGGAGCTCATATTCCTCTACTGGATGGCTAGGACTACTGGAGCGACTGGAGCACCGGGGACTTTGATCAAGACTGGCCAGAGCCGCAGCCTCGCTAAGGACGTGGCCTGCATCCCTCCCAGCTACGACAGACTGCCCGAATTAGCTGCTGCCGGTGTCCGGCAAGATTATCCGTGCCCAGGTGGAGCTCTCTCTCCCTATTCAGCTGTGTTCTAAAACGTTGCCTCTTATAGCTTCCTGGGCGAACTCGCCGAAGCCTCGAAGCGTCTGCTCTTCTGGACAGATATCAGCAGCCATCAGGCCATCATTCGGGCCCGAGTCGATGGCAATGAGCATGTGGACCTGGAAGAAGTCACGACTCTGGCCTTAGACCAACAGTCCGATATCCCATGCGTATCGATGTTAGTAAGCAACCAATATTTGGACACCTTTGGACCTTTGTAATCTCCTGTTCCCCCTTTACAGAAAAATCCGTGCTTCCATGCACATCTCGCAGGTCTCTGCCTTCGGGAGATTTGTGTCGGACGATAAGACCGGACTGGAGAGGAGCGCAATCACACCTGTCTGCACAGTCGCACAAAGTGTTTCCACATCTGCATGGCCAGCGGGGTATGACACGCAGTATTCACGACGTATGCTCGTGCCAGATTCTGATGCTCTGATGCTACTGGAGGGCAAGGAGAACTACGGCGTCTATCCGGACAGATAATTTTAAGTGGCGGGAGTAGTGACATAAAGAACGACTGTATATCCGCCTTCTGGCGCTGTGACGAAAGGACTGCCCGGCGGATCAGTTCAGCTGACAGTCAACCGAGGGCAGAGACAAGACTCTGATCTGCGATGGTACCACCAGTGACAACTGTGACAATGTCCACGATGAGGCCGACTGCTGCAAGCGACCTGAGAGTTTCAGTGTCCCATCAACCAGGTGAGTGGAAAGACACGATATCTGCCCAAATTCTTAAACTAACAATATTCTACTCCACCTTCCCACAGCTTTGCATCGGCCGCCCTGCTCTGCGATGGCCGTGCCTCGGATATTTTCGCGCACCGAACCAAAAATCGAGCTTTAATGGCTCCATCGAAGAAATTAATTAACTAGACTTAAGACCGCTAGACCGCTTAGAAATTAAAGACTTTAAAAATGCAATAGAGAACCTGCCGGCTATGCCATATGAGGTGCAACGCGACCAAGCTGCGGATGAAGATGGAGCGAAAGACTATGGATGAGTATGCCAGGCTACTACTACCACAATGCCTTCTACAAGGACCCAAGGTCCGAAGGCGACACCAGTTTAAGGTATGACACATTTTTGGCTAATTCTCGACCATTGACAGATTGGGAAAGTTATTTTCTCCGGTAACCTTCTACGCCTTTGCAAAGTACGCGGACAAGGAAACAAAACCGAAACAAATAAGCACGGAAGAAGTCAAGCCTTCTACATATATTCCCTGAGGCAAATCCTGCTTTTATGGCGAAGTTGCTAGCATCTGGCTATCCCGTTACTCCACCAACTACTCCACCAGCCACTGCTCCTGCGGCAGCCTCTCCATCACCATCCAAAATAATCTCGAAAAGAGCAAAGCGTGGTAAGTTTTAGTTTTAGATTCTAAAGTTAGTTCGTACTTGTATACGATTTAAAAAGGCCAGTAAATTAAACTTTTAAACCGTGTTTTAGTGAAAATAAAATACATAAAAGTAATTAAAAGTAGTTAATATTGTAGAAAATGTATTCGTCAATGGGATAAAATTAAGTGGGCAGGACTGTAATATTATAATATTCAATACAATATGTTGCTAATACCCTGGGAAATGGATGTTATAGAATTGAGAAAAGCTTTTTCATCCCAGGCTCCAAAGAAGACTTTTTCTTGTTATTCTGGATTTTTATCGAATAACTATTATTATAATTGTTATTCTTGATTTTTATTGAATAACTATTATTGGGGTATTATTAGGGTATACAAAGGCCTAGACTAGGGCTTACACGCAACATAGCGACTGTTTTTTTTTTTTGAACTATTTACAATAAATACAATAAAAAAAAGGATTAAAATTTATCCAATCTTGTAGAAAATTTATTCATCAATGGGATACAATTATGTGGGCATGGCTAACTGTTCTATGTAGCCTTATTATATTTGACGGAACATCAAAATTAAGCAATAGGTTTCAATGCTTGCCGGAGAACTATTAACCTATTATTAGCCAAGGGGGTAATCATTTTAGCGCAGTTCATATGAAAGATTCGTGGGGTTTGGCAAGTTAAAGGGAAGGATAGGATGGATCTATAAGAATGTACAATTGTTAATATTTTCCGCCATTTACCTTGAGTAGTTGAACTATTTAAATATAGGGGGCTTAAGTGGGCTAAGCTCGGGTTTCCATCATACGAGTCGCTATATTGTTGTTGAGCAACAAAAATTAAGGCAAAAACAATCAAGGGCCAAGTATTTAATGTGCCGGTCAAGTAGAAAATAGATTCATTAATCGGTTAAAACTATGTGGGCAGGCCTGAAAGTTCTTAATAGCTAGTAATATTCGACGGAATATCAAAAACGAGGAATATGTATAATATAACTTTAATTCGTCAGTCTTTTTAGGGTATATTTTGAAAATGAGAAGTTGTATTTTGGTATATTTCCGAGTGTCAGACCGTATATTTTATTAATGGGTGCTGCCACTAACGCCTTTTCGCCTTATCGATAAGTCCGATAATCCGCCATTTTGCAATTCATCGCTAACTTTGTGCATTTTTCCTCCCATTCTCGTGTGTTTTTCTGTACAATTGAATAATAATATTTTCAGCCAGTGCTGAATAAACCAGATCGTGGTTAAATACATTTGTGTGCATTGCTTACCGGAACAACATTTGAATTGTAGCAACGCAAAAGCAGCTACGACAAACCATCCCAGCTAGGTAAGTGTATGCCTGGGGACGCGCTGGAAAACGGGAAAAAAGCGAATTTGCGGGCCAAATAAACGGGGTGAATGTGTGTGTGCAGTGTTGTGTTTTCCCGGATACATTTTCTGTGAAAAGTTTTGCCAATACACACAGTGAATGCCGATTTTTCTTCACTTTTCGCCGCCAGTGTCGTTGGACCCCCCCCTCCCGTACGCAGCCCAGATCGTTCTTTTGGCTTCCCGTTTACATTTACAACCACCCGAGCACACCCAGACACTCGCATTCTTGTCCTCTCCCTTGCGCTCTCAGGCCGGCATTCGTTTGGCCCCAGGTACAGAGCCGTCGCCGACGCCGCCGCCGTTGTTGTTGCCGTTGTGTTGTCTCATCCGCTTCAGTCTCTTGTTTTGTTTTATTTTTCTCCACGCGCTTTTACCCACAAGGTGCGGGGGGAGGAGCGCCCGCTCAACCGCACATGCCGGCGCATATAATTTCATTATAATTTATTTGTCTTTCTTTTTGCGGCAGAGATAAAATCAAAACAAAATAGTTTCGTTTGCTTCTCCCTCTGTCCCTCGTTCCCCGCTGATATTATTGCTCCGAAACAGCTCCCACGCTTCGCTGGAGCCGACAACAAGTCGAGTTCAACGTTCGGCCACTTACATATTAGGAAGAGGCCTAACCTATATTTTATTCATAGTTACGGTTGTTGTTGCTCCAGCATCTATCGACGAGTCGAACAGAGAGAGAGAGAGGGAGTTATCTGTGTGTGCTCCTATACATATGTATTGGCGTGCCGTGTGTTAATGAGCGAAACAAACCCATCTTCAACATGTGAGTGCAACCTGGGCACACCTCATTATTGCCCCTACCCCCCTTCAAAACTCTTCACCCACTGGCACTCTTAACTTTAGTCACAGCCTCCCTCCCTTTCCCACCAATTATGGGACTCGACTTTTGCTTTTGTTCTTGTTCTTGTTCTTTTGCTTCAACTTCGTTTCCAGTTCTGTGCGAAAAAATTCGCTTTTATTTGCCTTGTTTGGTGTGTTTGCTCCCGTGCACGTATGACGAGGATGGCATGTAGTGTCGGCATTCTTTTTTTTCGTATGAAGCAAACGCGTAGATATTTCCCAGCTATTTGCGCGCGTTCATTGACATTGAACTGAATTCTCTAGTAAATACTGAATTCCATTATGTTTTTTGCAGCTTATTGAGCGAGCTTTTGAGTGTTTGTCATCGTTGAATAAAAAACATGACAAGTAGGTATCCGCTCTATGCTTATGTTTGTTCTTATGCAAAAATGCCCACAAATTTATCTTCAGAGGGGTGTATCATCGGCCTATATTTTAGAACACACAGACGCACACACAGACGCACACACACACTCATATGCTTTCGCAATCGTTTTCTCTCTCCTTGTTTTTGCTGTTGTTGGTTTCCTCTTTGTGTGTTGTGTGCTCTCTTGTATATTCGTAAATAGGACCTAGAGATGTGATCTTCTCCCCCTCGTGCGTGCTCGTGTAAGCCTCTGCACGAACAGAAAAAAAAGCACTTGGAAGCCATACGTTTAATAAATCTTCTCTCTCATATATGTATGTCATCGATTGGGTTACTATATCTATTATGTCAATTTATATAGCAAACTCCACTCAATCCATTGTGGCCTCTGGACTGGTAATTTTTCTCTATGCCTGCCCGTGCTCAACTCACGTCCATCTCTGGTGGAGGAGCGGAGCTCCTATATTTCATGTAAAATGTATGATGCTCGCCTTGTTTCCAATGCACTCAGCTGAGCATGGGAAAATGAAATAAATAACAAATAATACGGAGCTGGGATGCTGTCATTGTACCGCAATTCGTTGTCGGATGTTGGCCGCTTTGATGATTTCCCATATGACTATCGTTCCAGTTCCATTCCCATTCCCATTCCAGATAGTTCAAATGTCGGTTCCCTTTGCCCGCATTTAAATATATCTAATAAGTATCTATTGGGTTTATGTATGCACAATATGGGGGTACATAGCGAAAGAAATACGAACATTTTAGTCAACTTCGATTGTAATCGCTCTTCTCTTCTCTTTCCCTACTTCTTGGGGGCCTCTTCAGGCCAATTCCCATTCGCAATCACAATCGAAAAACATGTTCCACACAATGAATATTTTTGATAGCTTTTGTCTTCTCGAATGACGAATGAAAAAACAAAACAGCGCAAATGTTTTTTGTTATTTTTTTTTGTTGTATGCAAATCGTAAAATAATACTTGAAACACGTTTCCCCTCACCCCTTACTCCCGTCAACGAACGAGTTTTATTGATTTTGAAGCCTTGACTGGTGTGGTATTTCTATTTCTGCTGCACAATGATTCTTGGATTTCCAATTAATTAGCTAAAGATGAATGGCTCAAGATGCAGTTGATAGTTGATAAAGGTAAGGGTAAGGTACAAGGAACGAAAGGGAGGAAGGATTGTGTGAGTAGGAGGAGGAGGAGGAAGCAAAGTACCTCTCAATCGAAGTCTTTTAATAATTCAACAAATTTTGGGGCGGAGACAAGGAGAGCTGGCAGCCAAAGACAAGTTTTACTGTAGCTCTCCGTGAAAGTTGGGACAGGACAGGACAGGTTAGAGCGGGACAGGAAGACGGCACACGCCATAAGCACATTAGTTATTAGCGCAGGGACCAGCAGGGACCCCCACCTACAACTACTATCCTCCAACTACACACCCCCGTCTAAAGAGACACACGCGATGTCGATGGCTGGCGCTGGTGCTGGCTCCCGACTTGGCTCGCTAAGCACGCTGACATGTCCATAAAAGCCTTGAAGTGGACAGCACATGAACATTCACATACACACACAGATACAGGGCTGAAAGGGGGCGACTATCTATTTTTCTAGCGCGGACGATGAGAATTGTCAATTGTATGCATTTCCGCTTTTGCCCTGCTTCTTTGCTCCACTTTCTGGGTGGGGGTGGGTTATATTGTGTTGTTGTTGGCCATGGCGTCCATTAGCTGTTTTTCCGCTAAATTATAGAGTTGGAACGCATATACCCACCGCCCAATTACGCTGGCAAAAAAAAAAGGAAATGTGACGGGGTTTCGGCGGAGGTGGACAGAAAAGGGATAGCCATGGATACACATACGTAAAAAAAAAAATGACAGAGATGACAACGTGATACAACACGCGACGACGGATAGAAAGGAATGGACTTTACTGATGCCCACACACACCAGTATTAGTAATAAACAACAGTAATAGTAGTATACGAGATTCTATTCCGATTTCAAAAAAAATATTTAGTAGCCAGGCTGAATATTCAAAATTATAGTATACAGACAATAATCGGACACAGTATCTTCCCTTAGTGTCCAATATACATATGTAAGTAACTACATTTGATCTTACCAGATTTCTATAGCTGCATCTGTAAGCCGGTAAGCCTGGAATGCTGGTCACAACATTTATCACGATAATACACGCGAATCACGTGCTCATCTCTAATGCTTGGAAAAGAGCAGGCACCGTAGGAAAAGCATAAGAGCGCCGGGAACATGGGTGCGTGCATGTGTGTGTGTGTGTGTGTGTGTGTGTGTGTGTGTGTGTGTGTGACCCGACTCCTTTTGCTCTTTGGTGGGCAGCGCCGAACCGCGTTTTCATGTGGTTCGCCACGTCTCGCTGGACATGTGATCCCCTTTCGCTCTCTCCCTCTGCTCTCCCTCTCTCTACATTTATTTTGTTCTTGTTTTTCTTTTGTTTTGTGGTCCTGTATGTTTGCACGTGTGTGCGTGTGTGGAGGGCCCGGGGGGCATGTACACGAGTATTGTATAAAAAAAAAGTTTCAAGCGCGTTCGCCTGGTGGACGAACAGCTTAAATTATTGTCCTTATTGCATTTGTTGTTGTTTTTGTAGGGTGGGGGAGGGGCAGTACGAACCGTTGGATGGTGGGCGGTGGGTGGTGGGACGGCGGCGTGTGCGCTGTCAAAGGCTATTTGAACAGGATGTGGACAGCAATCAAATGATTTTCACATAATTGCTTACCTGTCATTTGTGTCACTTTCAGGAATTCCAAGGCCTCGCTTCACTCTCCTACTCTCTTGTGCCTGCTCCTGGGGACCTGCTCCTGGGAAGCTGTGTTTACGTTCGCTAAGAGAGCATTTCCCACACTGACCGCTAAATGCAATCAGTGCGGGGCATCAGAGGTGCTTGCAAAGGGGAAGCAATCTTCTGCCCACTTCCGCACTTGCAGACACAAAGTTTCTAGTGCCCTTTTGACCTGTGCCTGTGCCTGTGCCTGCGACGGTGCCTGGGCCTGGGCCCCGGTATCGGTCTCGTCCTGAGGCCATTGAAATTGTCCCTATAATTAGATCTCTGAGCTCCTGGGAACGGCTGTTCAAACTCTCAGAGTTTCATTAGGCTGCTTGCGGGGATGGGACTTGCGTCTGCCGAGGATGGTCTTATGGGTGGCACATGGAACGGATGGACTCTGGGTTCTTTCCCTTTGACGAGCTACTGTTCGTCGATTTTGCAGCAATTACTTGAATAATGCATTTACAGTACACTGGGAATAAGGACCCGTATCGTATGCTCCTGCGAAACGAGAACTGTCCTCGCACCGACCGCAGAATGCAATCAGTGCAGCACCGCAGGGGCCCACCAAGGTGCTGGAAAGTGCGGCCAATCTTCTGGACAATCTTCGCTCTCAGAAACAACAGTTGAATTCGCTTTTTCGCTCAGTGCAGCTTGCAGTCTAATGACCGCCTCATCCAACCACATCCACATCCATATTCTACTCGTAGATAGAACACAGACCCCCTAATGATATTTGTCCAGGTCAGCGCAATTTGTTGCATTTCACAGGCATTTAGCCGAGGAACCCAGCACCGAGGGGCGCAGGGACATGTATTGGACTCTATCAATAGTTAAACGCTTTGATATCTTAGAAAAACGGTTAGGACCGACCTGCCTTCCACTGCTCCGACGACGACGACGACGACGACGACAACTACTCCTCCTGGTGCCTGCCATCTAAAATATGCATAATGGGAAAACATCAGCTGAAGTTTCATCTAAAATTCAAAGAAAACTGCACGAAGGCTGCAGTTCTTTACCTTCTGCTCCTCCAAAAGGGAGTCCACTATCCACTATTTATTCCCCCCCTCGGCCACTCCTCCGGTTATTAGTCTAATGCCAAACTGTAAATTCATTACGCAGTCCCATGTACATGCACACATGCATATAGACAATTTCTATATAATATATAATGTACAAAGTTTTGAGCGTAGGTGGAGCAATGGGAGTTCTTGTACAGGGTGACCTACCAGGACACAAACAAAAATGTTCCCATAGAAAAATGTCCAGAAGTCACCGGGTCCCTAATACCACAGATAATCTGCTCTTACTTACCCACTCTCTAGGGTTCAGAGAAAGAGAAATTGTGGTACTTTTGATCCCTCTGCAACTCTCCATGAATAAGTTTTTTAATTAAGTAAATGTTAAATGAATATCGTGGGGAAATTCTGTATGTAATACATACAAGGTACTATGTGTTCTTATATAAAGAATCTATACTCTGCTCCACATATGTGTTCCAAACCGAAATGCACTTCCTCCCCCACAAATATCGCTGTATGTACACGAGTCCCATACATTCTTCGATACGTTTCGTACATAGGGAAGGAATAGTCTATTCTATATATTCGGTATTCTGTATTCCCCTATAGAACGATTTGTGTTATGGTCAGTCCAGTACAATTATCCCGGTTGCCTAGCATCCGGTACGCCATAGGCGGGCACTTACCCTTTTTGAGGTATTGTCACTTGGTACATTTGTACGAATTCTATTGGTCGGCGATTTCCGCTGTCATATATCCGATCCCCAATAGCTGCCGATTGGCCAGCCCCCAGGATGCCATACCGAAGGATTTTTCGTATAAATAGCACCCGTTCTGGTGTCTACTATTCATTAGTTTTTCTACAGGACTCACAAGCGGTGCTCTTTGCTCCTCTGCTCTCCTTTGAAATCGTCTGGATGATAGACGAGTCTTAGTATTATGTAACTGTCGAGTGGAAAAGTTTGAAAAGTCAGTGAAATGTGACGGGAAGTCTGTGAGATGTACCCGAATAAAAGCATACGAATATTCAAGTGATTCATTGTGATATTTGTTTGAAAAGCAAAAAAGAAAAAGAAGGTAATTCTGTGAAGGACTACAAGATCATTCTATAAGCATAAGAGAGTGCCCCCGCCACGAGACGTGCTCTTCGTTTTCTCAGTTTTCTTAGTTTTTCCAACAATATTCTATTTGATGAATAATAATAATCGCATCTCAAAAGTGGACCCTTTCCCCAAGCTCTTCCCACACATCTAACACCTCTGCAGTACTTTTGTAGTACAGTCTCGCTCAACAAATTCCAATTTCAATTTCAAGCTGAGTCACTCGGGGGGCACTCGACGAATTCGTTTAATCTTCCATTGCCTCAACCGCCGCTTTGGCCATTGTTATACCAATATCCGACAGATTTTTGACAACTTAACAGCAGCAGCAGCTTGGACAATTGATGTTTTGACATGTGGAAACTCCATAAAAAAAAACAATACCAACAGAAAAGAGAGAGCTGAGCCATGTAGAGGGCGACATTTCAAATACCCTTGAAGCAGGTTTATTTTACAATTCTGAAATACAGATAAATGTAGTAGAAAAAGATGGATATGCAGAGGTTTAGATGCTAGAGCTGTACAGATTGACGGCTAGACGGAATTATAGATGAAATGGCAAATATATTTACCTATCTAATAGATTGAAATAGAATAGACTGAAAGTCCGCTGCTATAAGGGTATACAAAGGCCTAAAGTGCTAAAAAAATTTTGTGTGGGCAGCCGAGAGTCCACCGACAAAGCCCCCGACAAATAGTTGGATCAAAGTCTCAGCCTCTTGGCGTTTTTTTATGTAAATGAATAATTTCTCGTTAAATATTGTATAATTGTATATTCCACACGTTTGCTCTCAATTATGCAAGCAGAACGTGGCAGTGGCAGTGGCTGTGGCAGCCGTATGAGTATTGTATAAATAGAGTTCTGTTTGAGCGTTGGCTGTCTGGCATTTCCGCCATTTGTGTTTCGAGGAGGAGGAGGAGGGGTGGGGGAGCCCGTGGCTTGTGGCATAGGGCGTAGATGCAACCCAGCGTCGGCTCACGAATGGATCTCGGTCATGTGGAGCTGCAGCTGCAGCTGTGGCTCTGGAATCGGATCCAAGCAGAGCTTGAATTGAATTGTTATTTAATTGCACACACACTCACCTGACGCCTGACGCCTGAGACCATCTGTGACTCTGATCGGCCCACATCGATTTATTTGTCGCTGCCGATCCGATCCGATCCGCTCCGCACTGTCTGTCAGTTCGACTCCGAGCGACCAGAGATCAGCACAGTAACTGAGCTGCAAACCATTAAAAATATATAATCGAATTCCATTTTCGGATCTTGTACATTTTGCAGAGAGAATAAGAATGAAGCGTGAAATGAACGATGCAGGAGACGGACCACAGGACCAGAAGCGCAACCGCCGCAATGAGGACACCGTGCGCATACTAATCCCAAGCAGTGTAAGTATGCTAAAACAGTGCTTGGAGAGTGCCTGGGATCCTTGGAGAGCCTTTGCTATTCAAACTCCTCTCTCGCCCTCGTTCTCGCTCTTTATGTTTCCTTCTATTTGACAGATCGCTGGCGCTGTGATTGGCAAGGGAGGACAGCACATCCAGAAGATGAGGACTCAGGTACTATATGAAATCACCCACCCACCAACCCACGACAATCACTCAAAAAACCAAAAAGAAAAGAAAACGAACAAAATCAAAGAAAAGAAAAGAAAAAAAAGAACAAAAATCTGCATAACAATCACAATTGAAGCGTCTAGTATTATTTACAAGTACATTTATAATTTGTTTTTTGCACCACAAAAATTAGAAAGTTGAAGGCAAATCGAAACCCAATCGAGATTCCATCCCAAAAGCGTCTGTCTCTCTGTCTCTGTCATCGTTTGTGTCTCTCTCTCCTGCGAACTCTCTGTCACTGTCTCTCTATCTCGCATCCTGTCTCTACCACCCCCACAACCCCAACCCCCGCTCGGAACTTCAGAAACGAGAGCTCCAATCCAAATCCAATCCGAACCGAAGCGAGGCGAACCAAGAACCAAACCAAAACCGAACCAAATCTTGTCTTCTGTGCCGGTCTGGTCTGCCCTTCCATACCCCTACCACCACCACCCCCACCACTCTTTCCCTCTCTATCTCTCTTTCTGTCTCTGTAAGCGGATCCTGCCAGTCTCTCTCTCCCTCTCTCTCTCTCTCTCTCTGCAGCAGCGAGGAATCGAAATAAGATTAAACACGCTTCTCACTTACTAACGGGTGTCTGCCACTCAGCTTAACTCTCTCTCTATCGTCTCTACCGTCTATATTGTCTCTGGTTTCTTCTTATTTATCGTTTCGTTTCTCAAAAAGGATGTTCCAATCTAAGATAAGAAATGTGTGTAATCCCAGAAACATCTGAATCCGAAATGTAATATACTACAGGCGCTTTTTTTTTGTTTTTAAATGAAACTTGGAGAAATATCCCCCCTTTTTTTTGGTGAACTATAAGTTAAATAGGAACAAGAACTACAACAACAACAAAAAAAAAAGAAACATCTACAACAACAAACAATAAAACCGATAGATTTACACGCTAATTAACCTTTTAACTAAATGAACAATTTTCTCTCTCTCTCTCTCTTCTCTCTCTCTCTCTCTCTCTCTTCTTGCGTACACCCCATATATGTAACAAATTGTTTGAAACAAAAAAAAAATATATATATAAAAAATATAATAATTCGTCGGTTCGCACGCCCAACAAAATCTTCAACCGATCCGACCAAAAACAATCGCCCGAACCGCCCGCCCGCACCGTCACTCTGCACCGCTGGTCTCCATGGTCTCTGGTCTATGTCCCACCCGGGTACTGGGTAACCGATCGATCTGAATCTGAATCTGAATCCCGAATCTAAATCTGTATCTGAATCTGAATCTGAACTGGCCCGATGATACCAAATACCAATACCAAATACCAAATGCCGAATCGATATAATCTGATATCTGAACATCCATGTATAAATGATGTATATGCATATGTCTATGAACCCATATTCCCATATATGTACGATACGTTTGTATCTGTGTGGATGCTTGGGCCCTGTCCCTTCTCCTTGCGATGTACCTGGTCTATATGTATGTCTCTATGGCGTGAACAAACGGCGTATCAATCAACCAAATGTAAAAAATATATACTTATATGTATATTACGCCCATCGACCGAATGACCGCCTGTCTGCCCGCCCGCCCATCGACCGACCGACCGTCTGCCCGCCCGCCCATCGACCGACCGCCTGTCTGCCCGACCGCCCGCCCGCCCGCCTGCCTGACATAACGCCCGACCGCCCATCCGCCCGTGTCTTCGATATATATATGTGTATGTGTGCGCGTCTGTGTGGCACAAACAGTACAAAGCAGCTGTGTCTGTCGACGATTCCCAAGGCCCCGAACGGTAAACCACATACAAATCTTTAACCTTACCAATAATTAGATACTATATAATCTGCATCTCTCCTGTACAAGCCATATTGAAATTGAATTGACGAGAACCGAGCTGAAACCGAACCCGAAACCGAAACCCAATCGAGTTTAAGCTCTTGTCAGCCCTAGCCTTAGCCTTAGCCCATACATATTGCATAGATCTACATATATCTTTGTCTTTGTCTTTGTCCTGTATGCGCTATATCCAAATATTTATCCAAATATTGTGTGTTGTATCCTCCCATGCCTTTACGTATGCCAGGCGCACAGTATCCACAGTATATCCAGTATCCAGTTTGTGTAGTTTGTGATGCCCAGAAGGTCGCCTTCTTAGCCCGAATCTAACTTGATCTCGCTCTCGCTAAAAACCTAATCCTAATCGCATACTAATCCACAATGCACCCCGTACCATGTGCCATATTTAACCCAATCCATTCCCAAATGCACGGCCTGAGCTTAAACTCTGAAGGAACCGAGAATCGAAAGGTCTGAGATCCTGAGATCCTGGGATCATCCATTTGCCGACATCCCAAGTCCCCCAGCAAGCGTCTTGTGTGTCCTTGTGGTGGTATTACTCGTACTTTGTGATATATGATATAACATGGAATGGCACTTGGGAGGGAATCTCCATATCTCTCCCTCTTGTTCTCTATCTATTTTATCACCGATTCTCTATCTGGCAAAGTTTGTTCTCTAGTTCTCCCAACATTAAAGAAGGCCATTTTTAGACCTGAATTAATATCTAGTTTATCTGCAATTCTAATATGTGTTTTTCCCCTCACTTTTCTCTCTCTCTCTCTTTCTCTCTTTTTTTTCTATCCACTTAACATCCTCTAAAAATCTCTATGCACGCCTAACTGCTCGCTCAACACCGAAAACAGGACCATCCAAATCTCGGCGGATATCGAGGCTACTCTGGAGATAATCACCGAAATGCTAAAATACTTTGAAGAGGTAAGTGGCGCGGCGCAAGTGTAACGTGATATGATTCTCCCAAATGATAACTCGATTTTATCCTTTCCTCGCATCCAGCGCGATGAGGACTTTGATGTGCGCCTATTGATCCATCAGAGCTTGGCCGGCTGCGTTATAGGCAAAGGTGGACAGAAGATCAAGGAGATACGCGATGTGAGTAAATGCAAACAAATTCCATTCCGATTCCGTACCGTCGCGGTGTAGCTGGGCTCCTCTGAAAACAGAGTAGACACAGATCGGTGGCAATGGGAGGCAGAGTAGCTGCCTTGTAAATGGGAATGTTCTTGCTCCCTGTTGTTCCCATTGCTTCGAAATGTATTCTTTTGCCCGAGAATGCAAAAACAAAATAAATGCTCGTCGTCCTCGAGATTGGGACCGATGCTCGGCAAAACAAAATACATTTCGTGTTCGTGATGTGGCGCACATTTTTGTATAACGTTTTGAATGTTTTTGCTGATAACATATTTAGTTGAAAAATATTTCCGCTATTCTGCTTTTTGAGTCCCCGCAGATGTCTGTCCGCGGTGCGTGTCTTTTGTTTGCCTGTTATCCCCCATCGCCATACCCATGCCGAGTGTCCTGCGGTCAAGGGACATCGCTGGCCAACCATGACGCTCGCATGAAGTCTAACATAATTGGGCTTATAACTATTATGCTATGCCTGAGGACGAGATGGAGGAGGAGGATGAGGAGGAGTGTCATTCAGGCTATCTGATACGTGGGAATATTTGACATGTTTTTGACGTTCCTAGCAGCGGAGGGAGGCGGCGACGGCGAGAGTGCCACGTGAAGTTGAAACCCGTCAACATAACTTTGCGCTTGGCTAAATCGAAAACTTTGTACGAGGACTAAATTCCTGCTGCCTGTCGCCTGCTGGCTGCTGCCTGCTGCTCCTCGTGCAGGTCTCTGTTTGCGACAGGAGAATGCATCTCCATCGATGCTGTTAGGGAATCGATCGAATGGATAGCAATACGAGGGCAAGAGTCTGTGTGAATGCTCATGCAGCGGAGGAGGAATCTGTTGCTGACGTCTCCTGCTACAACTCTTGCATAACACACTTGTCACTGCTGCTTTATTGAAGCTGAAGCTCGAGCTTCGTCTAGTGCATTCAGAACGGCTGACACGTGAGGTTGGGTCGGCATGTGGCAAGAGGCAGGAGGTAGGAGGCAGCACGTCAAACGCTTTGCAATTGCGCAATTCGCAAGTTCAAAATAATCAGAAATGTCTCGCCTATCAGAGGTGCTGCTGCGTTCAATTAGGATACGAGGTGCAGTTAAGTGGAACGCATGTCCTTCCAGGCGTAGTAGCTGAATCAGCAGCAGCAGGTGGAGCTGGCAGGGTGCTCATTAATTAGCGACAAGTGGGTCTGCATTTTAATTGGAATGTCCTGCGCGCTTTTCTGGCTCTGCTCCGCTTTACTTTGCTTTGCTTTGTTTCCCCCTTCCGCCAGCTCTGAATATAATATCGCACACTTATTCTCCCCCTGAAGCCGTCCCAAATGCTCCTCATGCATATTCATATTTCTCTGCTGCTGCTGCTGCTGCTGCTGCTGCTGCTGCTGCACTACTTCTATGGAGGTCAACAAGTCCACGGCAGCAGGCAGAAAGGAGCTTCCTCCTGAGACTCGTACTCCTTCCCTTTATTATGGGTTTCTTATACGTGTAGCATCCTTGCAGCTGTCGTCGTCTGAGATACTGCTTTGATGGCCACAGCAGATGATGATGATCAGCCTCCAGCAGCAGCAGCAACAGCCACAGCATCGGCATCAGCATCCGTGGGGCAGCATCAGCATCTTCAACTGTGTCTGCCTCAAAGCATGTGTTTGTCGTTTATACATTTGTACCTTTTCTTTAGTCTGTGCTGAAAAGGAAGTCGTCCTCGTTTCCATCTTCATTGTTGCGGCAAGAACAACGGCAGGAGCAGCAGCAGCAAGAGCAACAACAGCAAGGCCTGGCCTGGCCAGCAGCTGTTTCCATTCAGTCAGCCATTCGGCCTCCCCCCATTCTCCCTTAGTCTTCTGTCTTCTGCCATTTCCCGCTCTGACTTTCTGTCTTTGGCCGCAGCAAAGCCGGTTTACGTTCGGGTCTCCCTTTGCCAAGGGAGTACCCAGCCTGAGGTTAAAGTAATTGCTTACTTCTGGCTTCTAATACGTCTTTGGAGGAGTCTATTCCAGATTATTTTTAATACACATTTCCCCCGGACTTGCAGAACGCCAGATCTGTCGCATTATCCGGACATGTGTTCCCCTATAGTGCGTCGATATCTACTGCGTGCCTAGAGAGCTCAGTCGTCAGGTTTCATGCCTGTGTGCCGTGTGCCGTGTGCCCCCCCATTAAAATGTTGTCCTGTGCCAAGGAGGCAGCCGGCAAGGAGCGGGGGAAGATGGCATCTGCCACGGCAGCGGCAGTAATAATGAGCGACAGCTGCTTCTACTACGACTCCACACACAGACGACTGATCCTGCAGCCGTCATCCTTTGTGCGTCTGTCTGTAAATCCAGAAATGCCCTAAAATGCATTCGAGGATTGAACGTGCCTTTGGGCCTCGTCTGGCTTTGTTCCTGCGCTCTTCTTTCTCTCTGCTTGCCGCTTGCCGCCTGCCCCCTGAGGCTTACATTTGTTGCACGCTGTTCGCCTTAATGAATGCCAAACAGGTGCTACGCACACTCTTACGTATACTTATAAGAAGCAAACAAAAAAATACTATTTGAAGTTGGTAAAATTACCTTTTAGTGGAGTAGAGGGGCAAAACTAGAAAATATATTGATGAAAGGGCGGAGAATGCAACTAAAACATCTCGTATATACTAAATATAAAAAGGAAAAATGGATAGTTGAATAGTTTGGCTGAAAGACAAGCCAATACAGCTATCTGAATGCGAAGTTTTATAGGTTTCATAGGTTCCCATAAATTAAAACGTTCTACACAGTTCTGAGCCGAGAAAAAAGCCCACTTCACTGGACAAATTTCGTCCTGGCATCAACATCTGGGCGGTCTGTGGCTGCTGAAGTTTTGTGATTATCATTTGGTTATAGCAGGGGAAGTTGTATCGTTGTATCAATATCCGGTTTATTTTCCGATGGCATCAAATTATTTTGGAGGTCCTACACACTTCCGCCTTGTTTGTGGCATCCTTCCTCATTCTGCTCTCTCCTTCAGCCACTTGAAGAGGACGAGTGTTATACGGAACATACATCCGTAATTGATACACCACTGGACAACTGTACTCCAGTTTTGCTACTCATCTGTGTGTTTGTGTGTGTGCGTGTGTCTGTAAAACAGTTTTGGCCACAAAAATGGTATCTGTTTTTCATTTAAAGTCGACAACTTTTGGCATATTTGTGTGGCTGTTTTGCACTGCTATCGTCGTGTCCGCAGCTGTTGGTAAAAGTTTTTTTAATTGCTGCCGTCGTAATTGAATTTTGATTGCATTTTGCTGGGAGAGATGCGTCTCCCCCTCTCCCCCCACCACCACGGCGTTCTTGGGATGATCTCTCCCCCCCTCTCCTCTCATTATTCTTCTTCCTCTGCTGCTGCTGGGGGGATCTAAGGCGCCTTGGTAATCCCCTATAATCTTTTAATGGAGCACCATCGATGCATACATGAATCACTTAAAGATTTTGCATATCAATTGAATGCGATTTTTGTTGTTAATGATGCTGCCCCCCTGCCCGCTCTTTGCCCCTTGAGTAGTTGCCTGTGGGTGTATGTGTGTGTAGAACTATGTAAAGTTGTTGTTTGATTATGCCCAAAACATTTACTTTCAGTTTTTTATTTGTTGTCCCCCTCATCTGCGCCTGCGCACACAGCACAACAAAAGCAAAAGCAAAAAATAAACGAAAACATTTAAGTGAGGCGAAATGAAAAATACACCGGTTCCGTTTGCTGCCAGCGAGAGCAGAGCAGAGCAGAGCGGCAGCGAAGAGCGTCGGCGGCTGCCGATGAAGAGCAAGAGCAGAAGTAGGAGCACAAGCAGCAGCAGCAGCAGCAGCTGCCGCACACAGCAGCCTGCGTATCCTTTTTGGGCCTGACATGACTGACACACACAAACAGACACAAATACATGCTAACACACGAACATCGGAAGACGAAGAAGAGACGCACATGCTGTTGCCTGCCTGCCTTTCTGTATGTGCTTCCATTTTTTTTTTCTCTTTCCCATTCTCTCTCCCGCTCTCCCGCTCTCTCTCTCTCTCTCTCTGTGTGTGTGTGCTCTGCCGACGTCCTGCCTGCGTCTTCGTCTCCGTCTCCTTACATGGCAACTGGCAATCGTTGAACCCAATTATTTCGACATTGGCGCTGGTCGCGCACGGTACTGTTCCACTCTTCTCTCCGTCTATCTGTCAGCAGTCGGTGCTGCTGCTTCTCCTGCTGTTAACATAATTAAGCAAACAGTGATGAAAAAAAATAAGAATTAAATACATCTATAATCTCAAATTCAGTGGAAAATGGTGTGCAATTGCAAAGTGGATAACAAACTAATAAAAGGTATAGACAAAAGTTCTATAAACTAATTATTTACACATTCTAATGATCGGTTAGTAGTTTGAGATTCTCGAAGATATATTAATACAATTGCTGGCATATCTAAGCCCACGTTGCACATGCCTCAATGGCGCTTTAGAGACCAAGAGTGACCCCTTGACGGCGCCAAAAAAAAAAAAAAAATAAAAGTTCGAAACGAATTTAATGATTTTCTCTCGTTTGATTGGGACTAAAAACTACTATAGATTTGGAGAGGCGGCGACACGCCCAGGCCAATAAATTTGGTCTCGTTTCGTGGAACGGCTAAAAGTATGCTATGGTTTTTTTTGTATTTTAATATTCGATCTATGCGTGGCAGCCATGCATAGAAAGGGGGTGGAGCACGAGTCCGTTGTCATGTTTTAATTTCATAATTTTGATTCAGGGATTCTCAGGGGCGATGGAATGCTCGTCGGACCTCGTTCTTTCATTTATGTATGTTTGTGTTTGTGTGACTCAACGCTTTTGGCCTGGCCATTCATAAGGCTCCACATCCTGTGCGTCCCTTGAGCCACAAGGGTGATATGATGTGAATGAAGGCATGCGGGAATTAGGGGGCCGAGGAAACACTTCAGAATTTTGATGTCGCCATTGTTGTCTGGAGCACACGCAACGAGTTGTCGCCTGGGAGTAGCTGTAGCCGAGGGGGTAGAGGATAGAACCGGATAGCTCGAAGGGAACATGACGCAGCCTTTGGTCATTGCTACACACACACGCGTACACACAAACACACACAAAAACACACAGACAGAGAGAGTCGAGAAGGGAGCACGCAATGGGCCTAGGAATGATGCAATCATCAAGCGGCAGGCAGCTAGGCGGCACCAACGAAATTTATGAAAAACTAAGGAAATATGTGTTCAGGCACGACAAAGCAGGGAGCGGAACACAGAGGCGTGCAGGCCCTGCAACGGAAGCGGGACGAACTGAGGACTCCAGGCATTGACACACACACGAACAGAAACAGAAATCTGTTCCATCCGCTCCCCACCTGCTTCCCCTCTTAAGTGGCTATCGAATTTCCCCATTTACACTTCCGCCGCAGACAAAAAAGAGGTCGGGGGGTGCAGGCAAAGCCAGAGGCAGAGGCAAGAAGAACTTCCTGCCACTTTACATGCAGCCAGCGAGAGGGAAGCAGCAGAAGGCAGCTGCCCCGAAACATTCGATGGCGCGCAGGTAGAAGACCTCATTCTCAGTGCCTGTGTCTGACAGCTGCTGCTTCATGCTGATTAGGAGCCATTGCCCGCTGTGGCAGGATGCACGACAGGACACACATACGTACAGAAACTGACGGTACGGGTCACGGCCAGAGCCAGTGTCTGTGTCATGGTCAAATTGATTTGAACTCGGCTCTCAATAGACCTTGACCAGAAAAGATTTGCTATGGACTCTGTGTCTGTGCGCGAGTCGTCCTTTGTCCTGATTTCTGGGAAATGATAGCCCCTTGGGCTTAGGCTTAGGCCCAGGCCTAGGGCTGCAAAGCAGGGCCTCAGCGGGATACTACTCGTGTTTCCAGAAACTCTACCTCAAAGCGCAGAAACTAATCTCCTTTCTGATCTATCTACTTACAGCGCATAGGCTGCCGCTTCTTGAAGGTATTCTCCAATGTGGCTCCGCAGAGCACAGATCGCGTGGTGCAGACGGTGGGCAAGCAGGCCCAGGTCATCGAGGCGGTGCGCGAGGTGATCACCCTCACCCGGGACACGCCCATCAAGGGGGCTATCCACAACTATGATCCGATGAACTTCGACCGCGTCTATGCGGATGAGTACGGCGGCTATGGCACCGGCAGTGGCAGCACTAGGCCCAGCCAGCGAGGAGGCAACCGCAACGGGGGAGCAGGAGCGGCTGGTGCTGGTGGCGCTGCTGGTGGCGGCAACGGCGGAGGATTCGGTGGTAATGCTGGCGGAGGACGCGGCAGTGGCGGTGGAGGACGTGGCGCCGAACGCTTTGGTGCAGGCGCCGGAGGCGCTGGCGTAGGAGGAGTCGGCGGAGGTGGCGGCATGGGACAGCGGGACAATCCCTTCATCAACCCGTGGGCCAACGGCGGTGGCGGTGATGTGGATGGCTTCGGCAATGCTAGTGGCGGTGCCGGCGGCTTTGCAGGCGCTGGTTTTGGCGGAGGCAGCGGCGGACCCTTTGGCGGTGGTGGCAGCTTTGGCAACAACGGCTTTGGAGGCGGTCCCGGTGACTTTGGAGGCAACAACGGCAGCTTTGGCCAGAGCCAGGGCAGCAACAGCCTGCCGAGTCTCGGCAACTTCAGCCAGAGCCAGGGCGGCACCAATAGTCTGCCCAGTCTGGGCAGCTTTGGCCAGAATCAGGGCGGCAACAGCGCCTTGGGCAACGGCCTGGGCGGCGGCAGTGCCAACAACGGGGGCGTTGGAGCCCTGGGCGGTGCTAATGGCGCGGGTGGATTCAACGCTGGCGGCGGCAGCGGCGGCAACGGGAGCCCGAATGCTCCAACCAATGTGCCGCAGGGTCATGACCCCAACAACAGCACACAGGTCACCATTCCAAAGGAGGTGAGTAGTGAATCAGACATATCTGGGACCACTTTGATTGCTAATCATTACGATTTGTTTGTTTCGCAGTTGGCTGGCGCCATCATCGGCAAGGGAGGCGGCCGCATCCGCCGCATTCGGAACGAGTCCAGTGCGTACATAACCATCGACGAGCCCCTGCCCAACTCGAACGATCGCATAATCACCATCTCGGGCACGCCCAAGCAAATACAAATGGCCCAGTATCTGCTGCAACAGAGGTTGGTGTCGCAAACAGACTAAGCAGATCAAAGTATGCACTCAACTCCTTCTCATTTGACTAACCCGAAACCACACATCACACACACTACACGCTCCAGTCCTATTTCCATTTCCATTCCCATTTCCCACTTCCATTGCCATTATCACTGTCAAGCTAGTTCTGTGCGCAATTAACTCGGAAACGGTGCCTCAAGTCGTGGGTCCTCAGTGTGCTAAGTGCTTGATCGTATGTCGTCTATTTTAACTCGCAAATCAAATCGCTCCATCCAAACTAACTAACCGATTGGCCTCTCCTGGGAGTGTATTCCGTATGGAAGACTAGTGATTTTGTTGTTTGGTCTCTGCTAATAACAATAAATCCCTTGTCTTCTTACGGCGTGCATCTGTGCTCTTCATTCTATCGATGGTTAACCAAATTAAACGGAACTCGACATTCAACAAAAAACCAACAAAATACTTGTTTATTAATTTACTAATTGTGTCATGGCTTATCCCAATCCAATCTCATATCGCGCGTCATCCTGCATCCTGTATCCACCATCCACCATCCACATCCACATCCGCATCTACAACCACACCAACACCAACACCAACCTTCATTCAGCTGTATCTGCTGTTCATTAAAAAGTTCATTAATTATGTTTTCCTTTGGCTTTCTGCCATCGCTCCACTATTTTCATTGCAGTGTGCACGAGAATGGCAGGCGGAACATTTAAGTGGGCAAATACAACTTTACCAACAGCAACATGCAACATGCAACAACAACAACAACAACCATCGAAATGTTCTGCGTTTCACGTTTAAAATTAAATTTACTAACAGAAGAAAAGGAACAGAGAAAGAGCATCCTCCAAAAAAAAAACGAAAGAAATTTATGTATTTCTTCTCTAACTTTAAGTGAAAATTCCCCTGAAAAGAGAGAAAACCCCGAAAAGAAGAAAAGGACGCCAACTGGAAAATTAAGTGTGCCCTGTCTCATGCCCCCTGTACCCTGGACCCTGCCGCCCCCATCAACCATCATTCTCTCAGCCACACCATTCTGCTCTTGAACGGGGAAAGTCAACCTTAAAATTCTGTACGATAAGAAGAATGAACAAATAAAGTATAATTAAACTTGATGCAAGGCTTGCGGAGCTTTCGTTTAGTCTGTGAAGGATAATTGTATAATAAGGTTTTATTCACATTTTGCACGTGAACGCTTATACAAAAAAAAACATTAATCATTTCAAATCGAATTCGAGTCGGATGTACGCATATAAGAATGTAGGGTTTCATTGCGTTTCACGTAATAAATTATTAAGCATTAATCGGTAGATGTACAATTTAATTAAGAACTGATTTTAGGGTTGGTATTACTAGGCATCGTTAAGGTCTAATGATTAGAGTCTAGAGTATTTACAAGTTGCGATTGTCATCATCCATCCATCGTTGTCTCCATTCTTATCATCGGATTTCAATTTTCGCCAGTTTGCTGTCAGATAGCACCTCCATAATGGACTTTTGTGATATGGTAAACATTTGTTAAGCTCCCGCTTAAGTATAGACTATAATTAATATTGCATTTTGTGTGTGTGTTTGCTCCGATTCGCTTCTCGCCTTTCCAACGTCCAATGTCCAGGAATGCATTCGAGCATCTACAGGTCCGCCCCCTCCTCCCAGCCGAATCAATTCCGCTTGGACGAGTTGATTAAATATTTACAACAGTGCGTCAACAAATGTTTCTCGCCGGAGGAGGATGAGGAGTTGTTGTTATGGTGATGGTGGTGCTGTGGGGCGCCAAGTTCACGCGTGTAAATGTCGAGTCCATACTGACCCTCCTCAGGGAAGCTGCAAGCGGGTAAGGGAACGAGTAACGGGAATGATTGCTCTGAATTGCTATTAAATTTTCCATTTCCTTCTGCACTCACTTAATGATGAACGTGACAATGTCGTCCAGCGTGCTGTGAGTCACATACTTCGCCAGCTTCTTTTCCTCGATGCCATTCTTGTGCAGCGTGGCCATAAAATCTGTCAGCGGACGCGACATACGAAATTGCAAATCCAGGCTGCGCCCGGCAAAGATGAGCGGGTCCTGGAAAGCACGAAGTGAATGAGCACTGTCATATTTACCAGAGGATATGACCACTTAACCCACCTGGTGCGTGATGGGAATGAGGCCAAAGAGGCGGGTGGCCTTTGTGGGTCCCCATTCTCCGCTGGCACAGTCTGGCAGCGGCACCATCACCGTCTGCAGCTCCTCGCAGCAGATCTGATCGGAAGAAAAAGTCAACCATTAGCAGTAGCAGGGGAGGAATACACGTCAGGGGACGGGAACCCACCTTGAATTTGCACACAGACTTGAACTTCATGGGCTCCCCAGTTAGATACTCCTGGGGCGTCACCGCATTGGCAAATATGTCCAGCAGAAAGGCGCCCGAGCAGGGGGCGTGCACGCGGAAGGCCACGATGTTGCCGATCACCGACTGCATCACGAATCTCTTGAGAGAGACGCCGTCGTAGGAGAGCTCCTCGTCGCTGTCGTAGAACTTGAGATTGTAGTGGAAGATCAGGCAACTCTGCATGTCCGTGGGCATGGCGATGCGTACTGTGGCCGCTCCAGTGTCGTCCGTGAAGACCACAGCCCCATAGCCCTCGTCGGCAAAGTGCAGGCCGTAGCGGAAGAATAGCGACCGCACAAAGGGTAGATTCTCGAACTCGCGCAACGTGATGGGGCGCTTCAGGAGCTGCCATTCCTCTTGCAGCGGATAGAACTCGTAGATGAACTCGCGCGGATCGGTGAGGAAATAATGGTCATCGTACTCGTACCTGAAGAAGGATGAAAACCGATTAGATACGCAAACACCCCCCATCTCTGCTATTAATTGGACTCACCGAAGACTGTCGTTCTTGCCGCGTCCCTGCTTCGGCGCTTCCTTGGCATTGACCAGGTGGCGGGCTCCCCAGTTGCATTGGACAAAGCGCCAGGCACCGGCCACATAGACGGCGTTCCAGGAGTTGCGGAAACGCGAGTCCTGGAACTTCACCCCGGGCTGGTAGCCGGCGCTCTTCGAATACCCCTTGATGACGACACAGTGGAGGCCGGCGTAGCTGCAGAGGCGCTTGAACAGGACATGATAGCTCTCTGTGCCATATTTGATGCCGCGCAGAAGCCCCATGGGCGTGTCGCCGCGCAGATCGTCGTCAAAGTGCATGGCATTCAGGTTTTTGACCGTGATCCACCGGAAGATGGTGCGGGCCTTCTCGATGTCGGTGGTGCAGCGTCCCACCAGCTGGCGCACCAGGTCCGTGAACGTCTTCTGGTCCTCCTGAGCGACGGAGATGGCGATGCGATCGACATCCTCGAACTCAATAGGGTCCGTGTAGATCTGGAATTTGCTGACCGCCGGCGGTGCGGGAACCGGGGCATTCAGCGGATACTCAATGGGCACGGCGCCCTCGCTGAACTCGTCGTCCAGGAAGATGCTCTCGCTCTGCATGTACTCGGAGCGACGGGCGCTGATCAGCTCCAGCATTTCGCTCGACTGCCTGTCCACGAGGGCGGCGGTCTCGTAGCGCTCGTGCTCCAGCATCTTCCGGGTGATGCTCTCCTTCTTCTTGCTCCGGCGCAGGGTCATGTTCTTCTCCAGGTCCTCCTTCTGCTGCTCGTGGCGTAGCGTTAGAACATTGGCCTCGTCCCGGCTGCGCCGTGAGGTGGCCAACTCCTTCTCGAACTTGTGCGTCAGGCGCTGCAGCTCGCGCTCCCACTCGTCCTGGAACTCGCTCTGGATCTTGCGATCCTCCTCCTCGCGCTTCTTCGCGAATCTGCGGTACAAGTCGTCCTCCTCCTTGCGGTGCTTCATCTCCAGGTGAGCCTGCTCCTCGCGGGCCTGAAAGCAGAAGGGCGGGACAGATGTTAGGAGAAAGCTTTCGCAACGATCCATCCATCTGCATTTTCGCCGAATGCATTTCGAGCGTTTGGTTTGTTGTTTTTGCAATGCTTGGCTTGTTAACTTGGCTAATTATAATGGCACGCCTGAGCTGCCACCAGACCTGGCTAAATGTCTGGCATTAGGCCCCGGCCCAGCCCCGCCTCCAGCTGCAGTTGCATCTGCCGCCAGCGCCCCATCTATCCCGCCCACACATTCGCCACGCAATGCGTGCGCCCATCGATAAGTGGACGTCTCTCCGTCGATAATTGTGGCTGGCTGGCCATCAATTGGATGTACCGTTGCTGTTTGCATTTGTGCAATAATAATTGCGGGTCTGTGCGCCCGCTCTCTGTGACCGCTAATCTGGCTAATGTTTTCTCAGGCAATGCCACAAATGGTATGGTTGTTACCTCATTCGCAGTGTTCTCGGCTGTCATTACGCATCAGCGGGCTACACTCAATTTCCACAAATTAGTTATGCCCGGTACTACCCCTGCAGCAAAATGGAACTTCGATCCTAAATGTCACCATAAAATCTACAGGTAATCTCCCTCCCGAAAATATGCTTAGAAATATCCCGAGTAACATTCTGACCGTTTTTTCGACTAAATACAGTTTAAAAGCTCCGGAAAAATAATACGAGTAGCTTCCGCATACGAGTAGCATTTAGCGCCATGCAACGGGCCGTACAAGGTGTAATTAAAGCCGAAACTCAATGTCAAGTTCAAAACAATAACAATATGAAACAAAAGCAAATCAAGTAATAAGCACCGGCCAGCCACTAAATGGTTCAAAGCCCCATTGACAATGGGCAGAGCGCTGCGCTGGCCAGCGGATGGGGGTGGAATTGCGTGAGCGGCTTAGAGTAGATTTTCAATATGAACACAAGCCGAGCAGCAGCACATAGACGTACGTACAGTTATGCGACGCCCACGGTGACAAAGGCGAAAAAATCGAAATAGAGAAGTGCAGAGTATCAAAAGCAAAAGCAAAACCAAATCAAATCAAAACCGAACGAAAACGAAAGTCTAAAAATGTTGAAATTAATTATTGCGCAAGCGGCCACACAAACAACAGCAAAAACAGCAACAGCAGCAGCAACAACAAAAAAAGCCCAAAACGGTGGCAGAAATTGTAAAATTGGCGTTGGACAGAAATGCGCAAAAAGCTTTCAGCTATGAGGAAGTGTCTGTGGGATTGCTGCCTGCCTGCCCCGCTGCCGTTGCGGCTGCGTGAGAGTTTTATATGGAATCGGCGCGCCAAATTACACGGCGATTACATGGCGTTTAAAAACGCGTGCATTGCATAAGGGCTGGGCTGGGCTTGTCTGGAGACATCACCACCCAAGAGAGGGAGAGCGGGCAGAGTAGAGAGCTCAGTATAGGGGGAGCGCAAGCTTCGCCACCAGAATGACGCTCTGACGAGAAAAGCTGTCGCTGGCAAAAGCTTCGCTTGCCGTTACTTTCACTGTGGTGCGCATAATTTAGATTTACCGAACGAACGCAAGCGCAGCCGGAAAAACAAGTGACGGTGACGGCATTGTCTCGTCCGTGCCTGTGTCTGCCACTGCCCCTGCCACTGGCACTGCCACTGCTGTACTTGTATCCGTATATGGAAATCTATGCTTCCAGGCAGCCACACTGCTGGCCAAAATAGTGTGCCCGCCCAGGGCTTAGACGCAGACACAGGCGCAGGCTCAAGTGTTTGGAGTGTGGTGTGTGAGGGAGGGAGTGTGCGTGGCAGTTGTAAAACATGGAAAATTTTTAATGATTGCATGCATGCAATTTTTCACATGTGTACATATACATATATATATTTCTTGTGGTTTGTTTGTTGTGGCTG